ACGAGAATAGCTGCAATTCACTGTCAATTTTTGTTTGTTCGTCTTTACCTTCCCTTGCTGTTTGCAGAGTTTTTGGGCGCTCCGGAAGTATTCGTACCAAGAAGACGCACAATCTGAACAACCCCAACCTGGTACAATGCTATGTTCAGATTGTGCGTCATCTTGGTACAATTTCTTCCGGAGCACCCAGTTTTGCCCGCTTTGCCTAAAACGTTTCTTTTGTTTTGTAATTTTAAGTGATCAAACATGTGGAGGTTATTTCAAATAAGGATCTTTAGAAACATTTTCAGCCACATGTAAGTCTGTATTCTATAATTTGCATCACGAAGCACACGCACCTATTTTTTAACAAAAAGATTAATGTTAATACAAAAAAGGCTGTTGTTGAACTAAAAAGTAAAGTCTAGTCGGCTAAAATTTCAACTCCCATTTTTACTGAAATTCTAGGTTTAATTTCTTCCAATTTTAAATTCGAATATTTTGTAAAATGCTAAAGATATTATTGCATTGTCTGCCACCCACCAATTACCCAATTGTCTTCAATTACCGCACTTTATTACAAAACTTCTTACGCATTCTAGACACTTATTGGTGAGAAAATGAAAGCGTGAATATTAAAATGTAAAATACATATCAGTGTTTCATTAAAATTTATCATTTCTAATAATGTTATTACGGAAATAGTGAACACGCGAAAGGAAAGCTTGGCTCGTATGTGGCCCGAGTATCATAGAGGCAATTGAAACAAATTGCCTTCAATTACCGTACTTTATTACAAAACTTCTTTCGCATTTATGGTTACTTATTAGTGAGAGTGATGCGGGAATATTAACATAGAGATTTATATAATGTATGATACATGCGCGTATTAGTTTGTTTTATTTTTATATTCTTGAACTAAGATAGTCCCTAATATTTTCTGCAAACTGCAAAATAACGCATCAGCGTCAAGAATAAAAATATGAAGACATGCTCGCTCCTGTCGAATAGGGGATGGGGTTTTATCATGAAGGAGGGGAAAGTTGATATGCCGTACCACGACCGCTCGTCCGATTACCAGTCCATGCCGGGTATGGGATTAGTTAGCTAGGTATTTGTTTCAGATGCATGGACTGTATAATACACATAAGACGACATTACCTAATTTGTTTAAAAAATAGAGCAAGTTCATAAACAAATTTTTATGACATAAAAACTGCACGGTATAAATAACAGCCACGATGTTAAAATCAGACCGGAATTGGACATTAGCTAATTTCACCTTATAGAAAAGCAGAGCAGTAGCATGACAAAAGTACTTTGACGTAGAAACTCTCTTTCTTTTACCAATATTATTTCATAGTGTTTTTCAAAGATATAACGATATCACAATATTGCACACATACTTTTGATACTGATCCCAATGTCTTGTAATTGCTTATATTGCCCAGATATAGAATTATTTAATCTTTAACTTTAACTTATCAAAATGGTAAAACGACAGATGTCCGAAACAGAGACAGAATCGAACCTCCCTGATCTCGATACGGATGCCAATGTAGAATCAGGTAAATTGAGATAATGACTTTACTTTGGTAGGAAAGAGAGTCAAACGCAACATTATATGCAGGGTTGACACCGGAAAACACAAAAATTAAACTCAGACTTGCTTCAAAATTGGAAATACATTTTTGAAAGAATATCAAAGCCTGATTCGTTGTAGTAAAACCATGATTTCTTTGTTGTATTTTGTATTTTATCGAATGAGAAATTTACTTGATCAACCCGAATCGAAGTTATACCAAATTCATACCGTTGGGATTTAGGATAAATTGACCGAATCTGTTCAATGAGTTTCTAGAAATGTATTTTAGTGTCTCTTGGGACGCAATAAATGTAGATTTGGGAAAAATAAAAACTTGTTGACGTAGTCATACTAAAATGTGACGCCACGACCATTTTGCATCTTGACGAGGGATGCAATAAATTACATTGAGTTTCACTGTATAGCATGACTTAAGAAAGGTAATGCCATTTGATATTTCTTTACAAATTCACTTTACCACTCATTTTAAGTAGGTTATTGAACATTCACATTTCGGGTTCTTAACATTGATATTATTCCCCACTCACTGCACGCTGTTATGATTGAGAATACAGGCTTGCAGGCAAAATTACGACCTGAAAACTGGCATGCCTTTCCTGAAATATTATTAGTTAGTCAATTATCTGCTCCGCTATTAACTTATGAAAACTCTGTTTTTGAAATTTCTTTTTTGTTTCCTATATTTCAAATTGACAAATGTGTTTACTAATATTTTAGCAGGTTCTTTTGACGTTGAAGAGGAAGAGAAGCATGATGAAAGTCATAGCAAGATCAAAGATGTCGATTCAGGTAATCAACGAAAAAACAAAGAATTGGTGCTGGAGATGTCCTAGCTGAGCAGGGAGTTCCATGAAAATTTCTCCTTAATTAAAATGAGAAACCGATGCTCAAATATATGAGCTCGAAGACGAATGCTTGCAGCAGTCTAACTTGCCTCATAAAGTAACATTACGGTCAACTTACGATTTTCGTGTAGCAAGAAAGTAACACGAGAGAGGTCGAAGAAACGCTGCAAATAATTTTTTAAATTCTCAAGAGGTCATCGCACAAAATTTCGAAGTGAAAAGCGAATCATATAGAGCCCACAGAAAGTTTGGAAATAAATAAAAGTTATGGTCTTCTAGCTAAAAATACAATCTTTTACCCTATGGAGCCGCCATCTTCCTGGGACATTTTGTATACCCCTCCTAAAATGTTATAACTTTTTGTTCAAACCTGCGAGAACCTTCACTTATATTTCATTGTGAAGCGTGATTTGGCCGCTTTGTGTCAGCTTTCTCTCCAGGCGCGTGTGCTATTCGCTCAACCGTGTTGCGTTGAAAATGTGTGATTTTTCATTTTTGAAAAAAGTTTTGTTTTGGTATCGATGTGATCAATCCAAGCGAAACCGACTCGACAACAAAGTCGTAACCTTCCAGACAAGTCTAAACATGCATTTTTAGACGGCACGGAACTCTTATTAACCACAGAAAAGGCGATTTTTTTTAACGATAACAACAAAAAGGAAAATACTAATAAGAACTACAACATACTAACGAAACGATCCATAGGTCCGTTTCGTGTCCAATAAAACAACGAAATTTCGGGTATTAGAACCCAGTGGAAATTCAAAATTAGTAACAGACTTCTAGCGACGTTTTCCATTTCAACTTCCGATATTTTAATTGGGAAATCAGCATGCTTGCATATACCGATTTCATATCTTGTTTGTACAGTTCCTCATCTTACTATGTATAAAAATCAGAAGCTCGGTATACAAAGGCTGATAGAAACATAATTTGAGTAATTTAGAAAATCAGAAGCTACCATAAAGCATATTTGTGATTACTTTTTTCATTGAATTAAAAATTTTCTCAAAAATCTTTTTATATTAACATTTCGTGATTTTCCATCGCACAAATTATTTTCAACTTTTGTTATTAGGCGAACGAACATCGAAGCTGGCAGTTGCTATTCCAGTATTAATAGTCCTCGTAATTGGATTAGCGATTGGATGGACAATAAGTAAGATTAATTCTTTAGTATGAATCGTGGCCTATTCGAGTTGGTGCTCCTGTCAAACAAGTAAAACATGATTAGCTCCCAATTGGCGTACGATCTTTCAATCCCCCCCCCCCTCCCCCTCATTGATCAAACGTTTTTAATAAGACTTGTTCAGGTTCGTGCGATCCCCCTTGATCGACTAGCAGATGTCACACTTCATATAACTTAAAATTATCAGTCACTAACAATACGCATCAATAGAAAAGTTTGTACAGAACTATACAACCTGGCAATAATATTATTGAAAGTAATCATGATTGACTTGATTATCTTCAAACCTTCGAATCGATGCAATGTACGAGGTGTGGCTAAAAAGAAACGAGACTGACGTCACAGATTGCGCAACACGATTAACCATTGGTAATCAACACTTTTACAGTGTGGTGTAATATGTGTTCTTTGTTCAACAGCTTTTTTGACACAATATCGCAATTATTTTTGCTCTTTAGGAGCCATAGGTGAATGTGATTAATTGCTTGTTGAAAAAAAAATTGCCGTGCGAGATCTGATTGAGTTTTTTGGCGATAGGGGGTTCAATTGCAGAATGACGATTGAGCAATGAATTAACATTAAATTTTACACCACACTGTAAAAGTGTTGATTACCAATGGTTAATCGTGTTGCGCAATCTGTGACGTCAGTCTCGTTTCTTTTTAGCCACACCTCGTATGTGATTTGAAAAAAATAACGGGCTCTTTGGACTAACAAGATACTCCCACATTTTCGAGAATGAATACGTAAGCTGCATTAACATTAAATTCCGGAACTTCAAATATTATGCTATATAATCGTCAGCTGCTGTGTAGGCTACATTAATCATATGCTGCGGTCGCCTAACATCTGGAGCAAAAAAAAAATAGAAAAACGGGTTTGCTGAATATCAAGACATTACATGAGCCAATATCCGACCAGTCCAACTAACTTACGCTCTAACTTAACAATTGAAAAACGGACTAACTAGCTGTTAAAAATTTCAGAACCACCGATAGTCTCTGGCCGGATCCAGCAGCTCTTACGGTTTAACTTGGCAATTACAAATATCAGAACCTACGGTAGTCTTCGATAACCCCCACAATGACTGGTTGTATGAAGCTTTGTTCATAGCGAAAGACGTGAGCAAGCGTCGCATAAGAAAATTCATAGCCTGATTCTAACCATTGTCGCTGACTTAATACATTTACCAGGAAATTATGATACAAATAAACAGCGCTACCAAGGGTAAAATTAAACATCTTCATTCTATTTCTTCATTTCTTCTTCATTCTATTCACTCTCCAGAGTCATTGTCGCTAACTTAACATTTACCAAGAAATTTTAGTTCAAATAAACAGTGCTACCACGGGTAAAATTAAACATCTTCATTCTATTTTAGGAAAATGGATTGCCGACGACGATGTGATATTCTGGTTTGTGAAACTTCGTACATTAGGTATGACATTCACGGGTGCGGAGGATTTCTGTATACAACACGGATCGACTCTTCCCATTATGAGGAATGAGGAAGAATTTGACGCAATCAACAAAATGATACGCAACGGGCTTCCCCAGTACAGGAGGGTATCGTTCTGGACCGGCCTCACATATGATATCACGGTGAGAACTGGTTATTTATTGGACACGAAATGTACAATAATCGTTTTCGCATACTTTTCTTATTGTAAGAAAAATCGAGTTTCTCCTACTACTGGACCGACTGCTTTGAAATTTTCAGTGGCTAAAGAATTAAAAAATTTCTAGGAAACCATTACATACTATTTATTTAGTTTAAAGGGTTCTGTGGGGTTCATTGCAATGACGTCATAAAAATCAAAACATACGCACCATGTGGCGGTCGCTCGTTTAGGACGATCTGATGGTCAATCAATTCGGGAAGAATACGGCACCGTACCGATACTACGGAGGATTACATGCCTCCGTGTTTTTTCGCTTTTCTTGTATTCATAGTGTTACAGTTTTGATAAAGTACAGGCGATTGAAAGCCTTGTAGGGCAGTAATTGTATTAAATTATAATGAATATCAGTATTTGATGAAAACTCAAGAAAAATGATACCAAATTATCAGGGTGATATTCATTCGTTCGCGTTTTTGTTGTTCACTGTTATTGAACTATTTATTTGTATTGGATTTGTTTATGATCGATAATTTAATTCTTAAGGCTACACGAAATACCAAGTTATACTGCTGAACTGTTTATATATTTGGAAAGCATACATTAAAGTTTTTCTCAATTTGTTGTTATTGGACACGAAATGTACATATGGATCGTTTTCTTAAATTGTTGATGTTGTTAGTATTTTTGTTGTTGTTCAGAAAGAATTCTTTTCTTATCAACTACTGGGCCAATTGGTTAAAGATTGTTGTTGTCACTAAAAGGCTATTATTTTTTTTCAATTGTCAAAATTAAATAATAATGGTATTTATCTATCAGAATTAAAAGAAAATGGAAATACAGGTACTGTGGAAGATTTGATACTACTTCGTTTGGCCCTGTGTCCATACATTTTGAGAATTGTTTTCTTATTTTATCAGGATTTTCATGTCATATTTTTGTTACAGACAAATACAATTGTACAAGATGGTTCATTCACTCAATGGGAAAACGGATATCCGTCGAAATACCCCTTGAGTAAAAATGTGTTCATCAACGTAGCCAAAGATCCAAACGAAAGTTACCAAGGAATGAGGAACTGGCATTTTTCGATCCCGCTAAATGTTGTACTTTGTCAGATATGAAAGTCAAAAACCATGCATACATATTATCAATGAAATTAAACAGTCGATGCCTAAAACTGCCTTGCTGTACATATTTTGGCATTTATTAAACATTCGCTTTATTAACTTTAACTGCTTTTCATTGGATCAATATTAACCATGGACTGCTCGTTGATTAGTTGAAACGTATTTTTACAAAACATTGAATATATTCCGAACTGAACGATTTATACAAATTGATTAATTCAGAATGGAGACCGAGATAAAACGAGCAGAAATACCATTGTTGGTAGATGCGTGAAAACTCTGCCTGGGATTGAAAATTTAAAATGCCAAATATATGGTATTTTGTTAATACATTGCTTTGTTTTATCATTTGTAAAGACCAATATTTTTGACCCTTTACCGCATCTATTTCGAACATGCCTAATACTAACATTTATTGAATTCTTGATAAACTTTTACAGTTACAGATTAAAATGCAAATACTTTGATTTTAGAACTTTTGTTTTTGTGATTTTCTTGAAACTCCTTCCGAAATGGCATAATCAGGGACTCAAATACTGTTTTTCTCTGTACCTCGATGTAAGGTAAAACATTCAAGTAAGAGTGAAATGTTCGTATTATTATTAATTAAATCAAACTGTTTAACAAACTCACATGTATAAGTTCGAACTCATATATCTGTTTCCCCTTACAACGCGCTGCCCAGACGGCTGACCATGTGGCCTTCCCCTGACCGTGGGTTTCACCTTTTTTTCAAATTTGCATTGTTAGAAAGCTTTCGCTTAGATTTTTGTTTTGCAAGTGTTATAGTCCCCGCTGGTATTGCGTAGCATTGAGCTTTACACATAAATGTCTGGAAAATTTATAATGATACCGTAAGTAGTTTTGGAAGAGTTTGGAAAGTAATTCACCCTTGAGAGAATAATTTTATTGATCGAGTTACAAACGCAATAGGTCGCTACTATCCAGCTCCATTCTCATCTCAGATTTTTGTAGTAGTGAGTTTTGGTCGATTTGTTTTGCAAGCTCAGGGTATCCATAAAGTTTCTTCACGATTTCAATTTTGTTACAAAGTGAGATCTCAATATATCTTAAGCGGGTTTGTGTTTTTTTTTCAGTAATTCATTTAATACATCTGTGAAGGCGATTTTACCCAAACAATATTCTGCTTGGTTCATGTACCTAGGTAAAGGGTGCGCTTTTACAAGACACGTTTTGAAAAATGAAAAGAAATAGTAACATTTTTGTTGCCAGTAGCTGCATGTCCGTATAACGGAACTTCTATAATAGTCCAATGATTGTTGAATTAAATAAAGCCCGATTTTAAAATTTATTTCCTATTTGAAATTTGAATATGTCTTTGCATGCATAGTTGACTTGGTGAGTCACCCAAAACAAGGGTTGTCACGGGTCAATGATTCGCCGACCCCGTTTCAGGCAATGGTTATTATATATAGATCAGGCGTGCACAACCTTTTTGCTATTGAAGGCCACATTGCATTTATTTGTATTCAATACGGCCGCATTATTTTTTCACGACGGCCGCAGGTTGTTATAGATATAGAGGAATTTGGGGCTTCCACTAAAATACTTTGTTAGAGGATGATTTGCAGATTTGATATAATAAAAATGAAGATGAAAAATAGGGAAACTTTGAAGCGAATGGAAAAAATGGATAATCGTAACCTTGAGCCGGCTGGTAGAAGCAATCAAAATTAATTTGTAAAAAACCTCGAATTCGTGCACAGTCGGGATTACAAAACTCACAATTTGAGGTCAGGTCGTGCGGCGGAACGACTGTAATAGCCCAGGAACAATTTAGACCTCATACTATCGATAAATACTATTGTCAGCTATATTCTTTCTTATGATATATAGCTAAATCATAGGGATAGAATGTCTGTTCATGCTATACCAGTGGTGGACAAATTACGACCCGCAGGCCGGCTGTGGCCCGCCTAAGTCTTTCATCCGATCCACTTGTGTCTGTTAAAATTACGACTATAGTTTTAAGGGTACTCCTGAAGTATGTACACCAAGATGTCGCATAACCTGAACCCTAACCTGATACACAACCTGAGTTCAGGCTGTGCGCCATCTTGGTGCTCATACTTCAGGACGTCCGTTTTAAGAGTATAAATTTTCGTTGAAATGAAAATGCCGTCATGAAGATCTCTAATTTTACATTTTAATTACAAAATTACTGTAGTTGTGGTCATGCTGTGCCAACTTCAAAGCGGTGTCCGCCTGGATTAACGTGTGCATTAGATGTTGATACTAGAAATTAACTTGTGGCCGCGGTCTTTTTCTTATTATGCTCTGACGGGACAACACCTTCACAAACGAATATTACAGCCTCTGTTCTATAAATCCCCATAAACAACAGTCAACTTGATTGGATACAATCAAAAGTATTATTGAAGCTCAAGGATTGCAAAATCAGGTCGAACACAATAACACTCGGCAAAGATTAGGTGAGGAACGAAAAAAGCCGGTTAATAATTTTATTGTCACTCGAGTATGAGCAAACGCAGTACCAATGGATTTCTAAACAGTAAAAAAACATAAGGAACACGATTCACACTTGTAGATAACGCAGCCCTACTTATATAAATGTTAAATCTTTAACAATTTAACGAGTTTAGACAATCTTGATACCACGCGATTGCGATAAACGTTATACTTTATCCCTATGAGGTCGCAAATTCTGTAAACCAATAAGCCCGGCCTCCCACTGAGCCTATTGTATTCAAGATAGAAAGATCGCATGTTTTTCCGGGCTCTTGCGAGCGAGCCGAATCCCAATCAGGTATTTAGTCAGGGTGGGACCAGTTCAAAGAGTGTACACAAACTCGGGATTTCAAGTTTGCTAGTCTTGTCAACTCAAATTGACTTACTCCATACTGTTTGAGAACAAATATTCCAGCAGTCATGTCTTCCAATTATGGGTAGTGTTGCCAAATATATCGGAATAATTATCTCGATGGACTTGATAGATTATTATGAAGAATTTCCCAATGACTTCTGTAAGGGAATAGTGAGCTATCAGAGTAGAACCGATTTGCCTATTCGTTTTATTCTTTTTTTTTATAATGTCGAGTAACGGAGTTCAATTTGTTTATCGCTGATATGGGCAAACTACGGCCCGCGTACCAGATCCGGTCCGTTGGGTAATTCAATCTGGCCCGCCAACCACAACCAAACTAAATCCGAATTATGAATGTTTTAGGCAAAAAATAGCCCAATGAATTTGTTGAGATTGCGAAAAAATTTAGTTTTGCCCAAAGCTTATTGTTTTCATCATTGTTTTTGTAACACTGTAGATATTTTTCATAAAATGTAACTTTTTAGGTCACATCTACTTGGCCCGCCAGACTAGGTGGGCAAAATTATTGTCCTTTGGTCTAAAAACCTTCCCCACTCCTGCTTCGAAAATGAGACTGGTAAATCTAGAAAATAGACTTTTCTTTTGTCACATTGATCACAGACATTTTTATTACATTGTTTGTAAAGACGTTCATTTGACCAATATGGAAAGTAATCTGTTATTCTTTTATTCAAAATTTGCAAAAATCAGTTAGACGACCGATCAGACCTAAAACAGATGAGCTTTCTGAGTTAGTAGACTTGGTTACTGTGCCGGAGACTAAAAACTTGATATAAAAAACTATGAATAAAAACAGTTCATTTACAACAGCTAGTCCAACAATTAGGCTAACGTTTACCCGATAGTAAGAATCACAATGTAACAATAGGGGCCATTATTACGGAAATTAATATCCACAAAAACTATAGTAGTAAATTTAGCAGACACGTGCGGGCCAAATGAAAGACTTGTGCTGGATCAGGCTCGCGGGCCATAATTTGCCCACACCTAGTATAGCATGACCAGACATTTTATCCCCTTGATTTAGCTATTTATCATAGCTATTTATTTTATAATATTATACCTGACAATAGTATTTATCGCAAGTGTGAGTTATAAATTGATTCTTGGTTATTACGTCCGTTCCGCTTCACGACCTGACCCAAACTTGTGAGTTTTGTAATACCGACTGTGCACGAATTCAAGAAATTCCATAAGTCAGCTGGAGCCTAACATCTATAATGACAATTTCCTGAAACAGGGTCGGCGAATCATTGACCCTTGACCCGCGAAGGCATATTAAAATTTCGAAGATAAAAAATGATATGAAACCGGTTTTATTTTATCTATCATTTTACTATTATAAAAGTTCTGTTATATCTGCATGCGGCTATTGGCAACAATACTGTTACTATTTCTGTTCATTACTCGAAACCTGTCTTGTGAAAGCGCACCCTTTACCCAATGAGCATATATACAATGAGTGGAAACTTGCAAAGATTTGCTCATTGTGGCATTGTTCCCTGCATTTTTGACGTCGTCCAGCTAAATGGTTCGTTGCATATTAAGAAAACGCATTGCTCGCTGCCAAAATCCCTTGCTTCCGCCGAGTCTGGTGCGAAATTGGCCGTATTGAGGTCTTTAATTCTTCAATACATATTTGGTTTTGGGTTTCGAAGTATGGTACGCTGAAAGCATACAACCATGAGCATATGCTTATTGGGAATGCATATCTATTAGACAGAAAACGTATCTACAGAACAGAATATGAACCAGTCGCCGAGAGGAGTGCGGTTATTTATGTATTTATTAATTGATATAACATGGGATTTACATATTTATCCAAGGGGAGAAGAAAGCCGAAAAGAAGGCCTAAATATATGGAGAACCACGGCCTCTCTCAATCATAGCTCTGTGCTCAATATGAATCACATGGCTCTGCGAGCTATTAATTTACTTATTAAAAATACTGATTTTAACTATATATTACTATGGGATATCTTGCCATTGAAAACAAAAGCCAGAAATTGGAAGAATAGCAGGGAATGAAATGTAGGTATTATGTAATGGAGAACCTGAGTTTGTTTCACATATTTTCATGTATTGTAAATTTACAAAAAATATTTATGAAGATTTTGTTTTAGATATATTAAAATTGATTAGAATACATTTTGTTATCAATATGATTCTTGCATATTATTTAATTTTAACGATCCTTTATATAGTCATATAGATACTGTTGATTTGGATGCAATTATACTTTTGTAATCAATAGTGAGATATAAAATTTTGACCATGAGAAATTCTATTATATTCGAAAATAAAACACCACATTTTGCCTTTCTCAAAAAGCAGATAAAAATGGCCATAATATGTAGAAAAATATA